GGAATCGAACCCAACGACTAAATTGTACCGCTGTTTTAAAGATAGCCAAATTGGGCTGTTTTTGGCTTTTGAACATATTTTGGAATATTTTATAATTCCAAAGTTCGATATTTGTAGAAATTTTGAAGCTCAAAGTTAGTAAGTTATTGCATGATCGTAATAGGAAAAAACATTTCAAGATCTTTATCGTTCAATTGCACTTCACAATTTAACGTCACAAACAATAAACAAATTACCAGTTTTTTAACACTACAGGTTCAACATTAGAATGCTTGAATGTCCAACTTTGAGCTCCTAAATACACGCAAATAAAACTTTCACATTAACATTATGTGTTAAGTAAATAAACATGCAAGATAATTTAACTGAAATCGCTAAATTTATTTGACAGACCTTAGGTTCGTTCATCTAAGCATTCATAACTTTCAAAAATATTTCTTTTGGTTCCATGGTTGTACATGACAAGTAGTACAAGTTTAGTCCCACACCAAGGTCACTGTTTTTTTTGAAGACTTAACCGAAACAAAAAATCCCTAATGGAAAAACCTGAGCGGTATTAACCAAAACCGAACACAAAGGCAGACGAAATTGGAGAATACTGAACAGGAAAAAACCACCAGGGATTTTAGCCGAAGTTCCGCGCCCTGGGGACCCCTGTATAAACAATAACGTTTACATACCTTTGAAGCGATGCAAATAGCAAAAATAGAAAAACCGCCAACTTTTTTTTAAAAAACGCTTTCAAGTCCATAAAATTTTTGGTCTTTTTGAAGATACACTGTAGTTTTGGAAGTAATTCGCCATTTTTACGTAAATGTACATATCGCCAAATTAAACCGATCACCGAACTGGACAATTTCCTTCTTTGCACGAGAAAATTGTTTATTTGATGGGAATTTCTTGTAACGTGTGTTTTCTAATCTAATCCATAACCAGAAAAGTCGCACCTAGCGCCACCTAAGCGTCCCTATTTTGCACCGTTAATTTAATTCAGTGCTTTGCGCGCCCGGTGCCACTAAAGCTTAAAACTGGAGCAAGCGCTGACTGTATGGCAAGGATTAGATTATAGTACTTCAAGATAGTTTGTACGGACAGACGAAATTTAATGATCTTTGAAAATATCAAGTTATTTTCAAGACAAAATTTTAACATCAACTACTTGAAGAACACACGTTAAGTTTGGTTAACGAGGAAGTGGCGATAGTTTAACCAAACAATCCGCAGCGCTTCATTTAAATTATGTTTTAGTTTGACAATTATCACAAAGTTCACTTTTATAGAAACGCAAATGGCGAACATGGAAACCTTCGTGTAACTTTTAAGTAAAATATGTGACAACGTCTACGGTTTGTCTTCATAGTAACCATTAAAAATAAACAAAACAATTCACTTTTAATAAAACCGTGTTTTCTTTCAGATTGTTATGAAGGCATACCGCATACTTAGACCTGGTGTACTAATTTACTTTCGTGCTCTTTACGCTGTGGCTTGCAGCATTGAAATTCCCAGGAATAAAGTTTTCTTTAACAGAAAACAACATGTCCCTTTTAAACATTTACAGTAATTGCCACGCCGCCCCTAAACTGTAAATGTCTTAACAAATTAAATACTTTTTAAGTATCTATTTGTCGGTTTAATAATGAGTGACAAGATTGAAAGTTTTCTTCCAAACATTTAAAATTCACTCAATTTTCTTGATAGTGAGGTTCATCCTTGAAAGGTACAAACCCCACGTTCGTTACCTGAGCGTAGCAACTACCCGCCGCAACTACAGCGCATGCCTAAGCTATCTAAACTTCCTACCTGCGCATGACACCGGAATTCCGCCCTGAAAAGGAATGCCCCATGAAGGAGGTAACCCATCATGCCCTTAACTTAACCTAACCTAGTGCATGTTGCACCTACGGGTGACCTCCAACCGAGGTGGGTTGAACTACTCGTGCATTATAGGGGATCCAAGAGTGCCTTAATAGTCACTGTAGAAAGCCGTTCATGAAATTGGCCAACTACAAGACTGCATGCTTTTACCGTACTAGGGGAGAGATATTTTGTCTTTCCAGCAAAACCACCATCTTTCCTTTGTCTTCAATAGGTCTTGCTCGCTAGATCCAGTCTTCAAAGGTCTTCTTACAGATGCTATTTGCATCCTCTAGGCTAAGGTACCATTTGTACCCACTAACCCCAAGTTGAAGTTGCCTTCCTTTGGCCAAACTTCACTTGCATTTCCGATTCTAAGCTATGGTCCTGTCTATCCTTCTGCGAGGCCACAGCCGCTGCGATCATGCGTAGCTCCTTAAATCAGTATATTCACACAGAGGTTTTTCGAAGGTAAATTATAGAGAACAAGCACTATTGCATGTCAGTCACGGACTTAACACAGTTGATACAACTACATGATTACTAATATATTAATTTATAATATAATTGAAGCAGCACCAAAAAACACAATTGGATTATTTCAACAGAAAGAACATTTTTATCACCTCTTAATCACGACTATTTTAAAAATGCAGATGTTTATTTCTTTAAATATATTTATTTGCATTCCTGCATTAAAAAATAGCCTCATGTGGAATATACTGAGCACCAGGATTTGTTGTGGCTACTGTCCAAAATATATTAGAGATTTGACCTGTTAGCAGGTCTAAATAATTAAAAGGTTTATTATTATTACACTCACGGTTTTCGACGAATCTTTGGCAGATTGACGACAGAATCTTTGGCAGTTCGATGACAGACTACGATTAACGACAAATCATTTGCCAACTATGAAGATGAAACGATCGGTTACTGAGCAAGGACAGCCACAAAAAAAGCCCAAAATGATTTTTTGAAAAATGAAAAACATTGATGGTTAAACCATCGTATCCAATTCTCAGGCTACCTGACAAACATTCCCGCTTAAATGTCGACGACGGCAAGCACAGAAGCAAGATTGGCCATTTCTTGCAACTGTGCATGTCGTCTACGGCATTAAATCGGAAATATCGACAGCCAGTCGGAAAATTAGGATTTTTAGGTTTTGTATTTTCAAGTCAAAGAAATTCCATGTTTTTATTACGAAAAATTTAAATTAAATAATGTTAAAATTTGGGCGTTCGATAGTGGCGTGGTTTTATTCATCATTGCGATTGATTGACCAGTAGTGATCTTAGCAGGAAAATGTCCACGAAAAACGTTTTAGAAAAGGTTATAATATGAATCCATGGAAACAGGCGTTGGGTTGATGGATGCGTTGCTCATCAATAGTGTTTGCATTCTTGGTAGAGATGGCCTTTAGGACAATAGAAGTCACGTGTTTTTCACCAAAGTATATTGTTCATTCTTATCGTTGTTCAGAGGACTCATGAAAGTATATTGTTCATTCTTGATCATTGTTCAGAGGACTCATGAAAGTATATTGTTCATTCTTATCATTGTTCAGAGGACTCATGAAAGTATATTGTTCATTCTTGATCATTGTTCAGAGGACTCATGAAAGTATATTGTTCATTCTTGATCATTGTTCAGAGGACTCATGAAAGTATATTGCTCATTCTTGATGATTGTTCATAGGACTCATGAGAGTATATTGTCCATTCTTGATCATTGTTCAGAGGGCTTCATCATTCTTGATCATTGTTCTAACTTGATCATTGCTCAGAGGATTTCATTAAAGGTTTCTACATAGGATAATTGAATCCAATTAATGTCAGTTCACACTATACTTTCATAAATAAAAAAACATTGATAACATACTTACATTGAACATTTTATTCACTAGTAATATAGTTCAAGGGAAGAATTTCAACCAAATTACAGAATTGTATTTTGTTCTTATGCTTAGATGAGCGTCGAGGAAATGTTCGACAACAGCCACAATTCTCTTCAATCGCTGTGAACAAGCGATTTTTTTAATTGTAGAGTCCACCATCATGGTAAATACACCAACGTTTGTTTGCTGTTTTTCAAACTCATTTGATGACTACATGTCGTTTAAGAGAATGTTCATGTCTAAAATAAAGCATAGAAGAAACAAAAGTTACTAAGACGAAAACTTTATGGTAAGGCCACACCGCATTCTGCATAGATAAACATCCCATGCAGCGTCCCAATTTAATTCAGACTCAGTGCAAAAGAACATGAAACAACACATTTACCTGAACATTTTTTTCAGAGCACTTCAGGAGATATTTCACCAAGGAATAATTTCGACTTCAGCTAACCATTCGTCGTGCATCTGCCGACTTTCACGTTCAAATGGCACGTTCTTAGGTTTTGCCTTAAACTATGGCCTAAGTCTCACGAACGTGTTGGGTTCTGATTGGACAGTGATTAGGTGTGGCGTAAACGTGTTGTGTTCTGAGTGGTCATTTACTAGGTGTGTCGTCAATTGTACATTGTCATTGTGCCTATCTCAAAAAACTGATGTCTTTGAAATCAGCCGCGATTTAGAATTTGCATGATTCATCACTTAGAAGTAATTAATCCCCATAGAGCGGTAAATGCAATTGAATACAATATAAACACAGATATAAATAAATACGTATTTGTCAGCTACAGAAATTAACAAACTCCAAACATTTAAGCCTCCTTGGTGAACAACTACAGCTGATCATGAAAATTCTAAATGTCGACTGATGTCAAAAAGATTTGATGAACGATCTAGATTGTTAATAGCTTCTCATTTTCTTATTGTAGTTATTAGCTAACATCAACATCTGATTTCTTTAATTAGCTTTCTACAGAGTGTATATAAAACGAGTTTTGGCAATTAAACTATTGTAAAATTTTGAAGCCCAATTACTGTGCTAATCTCCAAACGTGCAATACATTTCTAAAGGGAAAAGCTTTTGTGCTTGCATCTACAAAGCTAACAATATTTTATGCACCTGTAGGCTTAGCACAGTGACAGACATTAAAATTATACAAAGGTCTTCAATGGCAAATGACCAACTCTTTTTGCACACATGAATTTAAAACTAAAAACTCAAAGGAATGAGTTGGATAGAAAAATATTATTACAATGCATTGTTTATGTTTTTATTCAACTATCAGCCTGTATTATATGTGGTCTCTTTCAAAGAACTTTGAATCTCCATGAGACAATAAATATTCATTGCAACTATTGTTCCGAATCTTTCCATATTCCCTTTTTTGTGTTAAGCACCTCCAAGCATTCGATTTCTAGGTCTTCTGACAAGATTTTGTCCACTAGGTCCCAGTCTTCACCACCCCAGGCATGTCTTAAGCGCTGCTATCCAATGCCACCAATTCTAAAAGGAGATAACACTCTAGTCTAGAATAATGATATAAGTCTCTTTTTAGCGCAGAAGACTTATAGATATTAAATGAAAAAAATTATATTCCATGATTGATCTCGTAAACTCATTATTTTGAGTATTCATGTAGTCTTTTTGCAAAACAACAAAATTACACATCATACATTAATAGTTTCCCTGTCAAATAGAGCACGGTTTTCCCTTCTGGTGGCTTAAATGCAAAGATTTTATTTTATTTTGATTATTTATAACTTACATTATACATACAAAGTACATACCTACCCCAGTCTGACTTGTTCATTGCTATAGGTCCATACCCATCGTGTTCCTAGCACCTATGGAATGATTCACAGTATAACCACTGTCCTGACGAATCAAGAGTGCATTAAATGTGGTGTTTTCCCTGAATACAAGATTCTAAAAACAACAGAAATCAAACATTAAATGAAATACATTTCAAAGTTTTATCATTATATTACATTGTCTGCCATAGTTTAACTACATTTTAGATAAAGTAATGACACTGTATGTTCTGTTTATTATTCTTATTATGCAAGATAACATACAAATCAACTTTTCACGCATTTACATGCCAAAGACTATAGTTCATGCATTTTCACACATTTTCATGCCATAGACTATAGTTCATGCATTTTCACACATTTTCATGCCATAGACTATAGTTCATGCAATTTCACACATTTTCATGCTAAAGACTATAGTTCATGCATTTTCACACATTTTCATGCCAAAGACTATAGTTCATGCATTTTCACACATTTTCATGCTAAAGACTACAGTTGATGCATTTTAATACATTTTCATCCAAAAGACTATAGTTCATGCATTTTACATTTTCTTCATGCATTTCCATTTTCATGACTATAGTTCCATTCATTTTATTCAGTTCATTTCACATTTTCATGCACCATAGTTCATGCATTTTTACACATTTTCATGGTAAAGTCTATAGTTCATGCATTTCACGCATTTTCTTGTCAAAGACTATAGTTTATGCATTTTAACACATTTTCATAATAAAGACTATAGTTTATGCATTTTCACACATTTTTATATAGTTCATGCATTTTCATGCCAAAGATTATAATTCATTCATTTTCACACATTTTCATGCAAAGACTACAGTTTATGCATTTTCACGCATTTTCATGCTAAAGACTATAGTTTATGCATTTTCACGCATTTTCATGCTAAAAACTATAGTTAATGCATTTTTACACATTTTCATGCCAAAGTCTATAGTTCATGCATTTTCATGCTAAAGACTATAGTTCATGTATTTTCATGCCATAGACTATAGTTCGTGCATTTTCATGCTTAAGTCTATAGTTCATGGAATTTCACACATTTTTATGCCAAAGACAATATTTCATCAAATTTAAAGTTTTTGTGTGAAAAAATTGAAAATTTGTGAAAATGCATGAATTATAGTCTTTGTATGAAAATTTGTGAAAATGCATGAATTATAGTCTTTATATGAAAATTTGTGAAAATGAATGAATTATAGTCTTTGTATAAAAAAATGTGAAAATTTGTGAAAATGCATAACTTATAGTCTTTGTGTGAAAAAATGTGAAAGATTGTGAAAATGAATGAATTATAGTCTTTGAACAAAAAAATTTGAAAATTTCTGAAAATGCATGAACTATAACATAGTCTTTGGTATGAAAATGCGTGAATTATAACCTTTTCTATGAAAACGTATGAACTTAAAATAATCGTACAATGGATGTAACCAAGAAAGACTGTTCATTTTTATTTTTTTATTAAAATCGTTTCATTTTTAATGCATTGTTAATAATTTAATTGTTTGTTTCAGTATACAAGGATGTTTATGTTTAATATCTATTTATCAGATTTATGAAACTGCTCAACGTTTTATTCTTGATAGCGACGACAAATTTTCCCCTTTTTTCAAAGCAAATTTGAGATATTAGTTTGTGGATCATTCATACTCAAGTAATATAAAATACAGTGAAACACGTTTGCCTCCGTGGCCTAAAGGATAAGGCGTCGGCCTCCTAAGCCGAAGATTGCGGGTTCGAATCCCGTCGGAGGTGCATTTCTTTTGTCTCTTTGTTGATCTTTTTCTGCAATTCTTTCACGGAAAATTTCGCCACGTTGGATAAACATAAACAATAATTTCAGCCACTTATATCATACTTCACGTTCAGATTTTCTCATATCTAAATGACTTCAATATAATGAATGTATTATGCATGCATACTTCATATTTTCATACTTGCAACAATTTTCGTAGATACAAATACATAGTGCTCAATGTTTAAATTAACCGCGCAATATATAAAGAAGAGTAAATAAGACAAAAATCTTAATCGCTATTAAAACTATTAAACTATTAAGACTTTCTGTCATATTTGTAGTCACTTTGCATATGTATATATTCTCTCCCCAGGCCTCATGTGAAACATGAAATTATAGAAATTATAAGAAATATGAATATATCAGTTATTTGCTCATAAAATTACGACGTTTTATCTCACATTAATAAGAACATTTTGAAAGGACAACACTTAGTTATGAAAAAATGACTTACATGAAAGAACGACTAAAAGAGGACAACTCGTGTGACATGACGATTCTTTCTAATAACAAGTCGTACAGAATGAGTTACGGTCGCTGCAATAGAAGCGTTCGTAAATTATTACATGAACATATTACCTCACGTTTATCAATTGATCTACGTAGTTCCTCAACGAAATTCTTTGAAAACGAAGTAAAACTCGTCAAAAGTAATCGTCAGCGCTATAAAACAATCAATATAAATCCCTGATGATTTCTGGTGATTGTCACTTCACAATTTTATCAAAAGCTCTTTCATTTTAAGAACTTTCAGCATTTAAGGTCATCTATTGATATTTATACTGAGAAAAACAGTGTTGCCAGGTTGAAATTTTAAAATTTCATGCTCGCTTACATTTAATTTTTAAGATCGGAGTTTAACGGAAAGCCTCGGACTAACTTGGAAAATCCCGGAAAATATCGGAAATTGTCGAAAACTCTTGGAATTACTCGTCGCTTATCATGCATGCATTTGTCGCGCCATTTTTGTTTTTTTTGCATTCTTTTTCAGCTTTCTTGCTTCTAAGCCATCAGGATCTAAATCAGCAAGAACAGTGTGAACTAAATGCCGAGGAACCTTAACATTCATTATGCACTGTTTTAAGCTTTTGATTTAGCGCTCTGTAGCCCAGAAGCTTTCCAGGTCCACTAAGTTCTTTGCAAACTGCATCAGAAACGGCTTGTACAGGTGTATTATATTCAATATACCTGATTTCAAAATGTCGAAGTCTCCTATCTAGTGTAGCGATGCTAATCTCGTTCGACGAAATCTAGGATTTCCGACCTTTTTAAGTTTTCTTTAACATATTTGTCAAGACCACCTTTCAATCTTTCATTTTCTTTCCAGTTTCCTTGCGACATGTTATTATGTAATGAATTAGAACGATATAGTAGTTTGTTGTTGTCAAGTAAATAACATATGTTTTGTACTTTTCTCCTGATCTCAATAAAAGGCGGAGTAATAATTGTTGGTGATAGCGCTGTGCCACGCACAACAAAGTGTTTTATACATTCCATTTACGCTTTCAGAATGAAAATAAATAAAATTCGTATTTATATAATGAAATTAATATTAAATTAACATTTTAAAGTAAAGTTTTATGTAAAATTTGTTTTTGAAATGAAAATACAACTGAAAATAATATAGACGTACGGAAAATAGTGATGATAGCGCTGGGCCACCATAGTCATTGATCGACATACTGCATGTTTTCGTCACTCACGAAATTTGAAGATATCATACAATTTATAATTATTTTAGTCAATTATTTTTAAGCAAGAAACTATATTTCATTCATTTTTATCAACCAAAGTTACAATATAGTTTACAATACAGCTAAACAAATCCCATTCTACACCAAACTGGCAAGTCTAAGTAATATATTTACTCATAGTTTGTACTGCATTTTTCAGACCTAATGGAACATTTAATAAGGTAAGAAGTCACAAAGAAATTCATCTGTACCGGAGAACCATTAATTTCACGTGGAACCATGGATTTTACGAGGGACTAAGGACTCTTGCCTGAAATAACTGCGAATTCTACGACAAGACTTTCGGAACAAATTTCCCAAATATGAATGGGAGTTACGGTCGGATTTTTTAAAGTCGGTTTCGATGCAACTCGTTTTTCTTTCACAAATATTTTCAAAACTAGCTGTGTGGCTTTGACACAAGTTATCTTCGGCAAGAAGAACAGTCACTGCTCGTTCATTTAAACAATCTTCGCTCTCCAACACACAACTAGTACACTGTTCATCTTTGTCAATGAAGACATTATCATTCTCTTGAGAAATATCATTTGATGAGGATCTTGTCTGTCCTTTTATTTTCCATTTGCTAGTCATCGTTTTTACTGATTTATAACATGGTGAGAGTCGTTCAAATGGCTCGTCAATAACTGATTTCTCGTTGAATTTTTCAAGAAGAGTAAAGCCAAGTTTAAAGGCTAACGTTGCTAACTCATAAAACTCGTGGGCAAGTTTATATGTTTTGCAGTAGAAAACATACGCTTTGTATTGCGAAATGTGATTTTCTCTTGCTACGAGAACACAAGTCCTCGAATATGGACCGTCGTTTAAACACACTGTAATATCTTTCACTTGAGTTAAAGGGAAATTTACTAACAAATGATCATCGTCTTTAGTTGAAATATCAATACGTTGACTATCGATAAATACGACAACTTCTTTCGCATTTTTTAGTTTATTCTTTTCTTCAGAATACAAGGAATGAATGTCGTAAATCAAACGCGCAATTTCGTAATCAGTTCCTTTGACTTGTGAGACAATTCCACAGCCCAAATATTGGGTTGCAATCTCAACTCCAACTAAGATTTTATCATTTAAGTGTAAACCTCTGTAGGACGAAGACCTACGCCGATCAAAACGCATCTTTAAATGATACAGTTCAACTTCCGTGCGTCGGTTAAGTTTGGAGACGAAACAGATGAATATTGAAGCAATTCACCGTTATGCACGTTACTAAGAAACATAAATCTGCTGTGTGTATGACTAAATATCAATTAATCATTTCTTTATCTCTGACGTAATAAGAAAATAAAATAAAAATGATCTTTATTCATTATAAACTAATCTCGCATGCCTCGTCACTGCAATGAGCAACTTATTCTGTATTCAATTTGCCTCGCATTTTTTTGTCTAATATAAATATTCAAGCATGACAAATATTCATTTACAGTTACCTCCCATAGCAACACAACTCAATTTAAAACACAGTAAATATAACCTTTGTCATTGTGAACTACCGCAACCGTTACTAATGTGAGCTAATATGTATATGTGAGAAAATCTGCATAACAATACAATAAATTTACATACCAGATCTACATTTTCAGGTTGGCTATGCACATTAACATGATCAAAAGCAAATAACTATCATAAACTTTCACTGAAAAAAGAATTTATGACAAAACATTAGCTTAAAAGTTTGCAAGCAGAATTTCAGGTCTGCTTTGCTCTTGATTTCAAAATACCATTACCAAACCACTACTAACCTTTCACACAAAACATGGACATGCTTTTCTTATTCATTCTAGTATTATTATTCGGATTTTTTCGTACAGCTTTAAGTACCATATTTAATTCTACAATTTTTTGAATTGGAACAAATAATGTTCGAATGTTATTTCCAATAATTTTAACATCTCCTTGCAAACTGCCAACATCTGCAACATCAGCAGCTATTTTTTCTATAAAATCTTTCTTATCATCTATACTTTAATTCTGTCTTCTACGATGAGAAACAAGAATCTTAACACTGTCATTTCCTTCTAAAAATTCAATAATTTTTCTCATTTTTATTTCAAGATCATGCTCGGCAATCTTCCCTGTTATTTTTATTTCCTTCGTCTTACTGAGTTTTACTTGTTTCTTTTTATCCTCTTTTCTTTTGTCAAAAAGCTGTTTTTGACTGAATAACTTGCAAATAGTTTTATTTTTATTGTGTCCAACTTCGACAAACATACATTTTGATATTTTTCCTTTCTCCAAGGCGTTTGCTAAAGGTACAATACCCAAGTTTGTGCCGCATTTATCAATCAAACGAGCATTCTTAGCTTGTATTGCATTGTTCATGCGATATTCTTTTGGCGCTTTATGATTCGAATATCTTATAAAGGTCGTACAGGATTGTATACTGAAACACATTGATAAACAACCTTGATCTTTACATTTTCTTTCTGCAAATGCCACAAGAAAACGCTTCTTGCATTTGAGATTTAGAGATCGTCGTATTAAAAGCTTTCGAAAAGAAGATATTCTCAAAAAACAGAACCGAACACCGTTCATTACTGGATAAACGCACGCAAAATGTTTACTATTTCATCCTCTCCACTGGTCCTCTCACACTGTCGCCATACCGTATTTTTAAATCGAGCTTCCGCCATATTTTACATAACAATACTGTACGGTCTAGACTGCTGTGTTACTGGTCTGGGTCACTGATATGTATATTAGATTGGTAACGCATCTCTTGCGAAAATTAAAGCCGGAATATCGATCATTTGCTACTGGCTTCATGGGGGGTATCGGTCTCATTTCACTATACTTTTGTATTACAAAATCACAGTTTTCGCGTTTTTATTCCTTTTACAAACATGTAGAGGAAAACCGGTAGAGAGTTGTAACCCTCAAACTCTGTATTTTAGCTTTGTAACGACCAAAAAATAAGATGGCAAGTTGTATTGAAATTTGAAAATTACAAATTAAATTGCATTACATTGTTGTAAATTACAAATTTACAACAAAGTAAGAATAAAGGTATTCATATCTTCGATAATGAAGTTGTTCACATAGGAACTGGCTGAAAACTTTGCTCGCTTAATTACAACAGAGGTACTTTAATTCGCATAATTTGATGATGTACATCTCGTAGAGTTTGATGATATCGTTATCAACTTACTATTGTTCATCAAAATGTCTTTCTGATTGTTTTTCTATGTCGATTTGTTTTGTTTCTTCACTGATATAATAAATACGTAATTTGAGATTATGATAGCGATGTGAATAACAAAGTGTTGTTAAATAAGCAAATTTGTAGCAATCTTCCATACACGTCATTGCAGATGAAATTTTGGTAGCAGTAGTAGGATTCTGTAATATTTCTACATTTTTAAGAAGCAGCAGCATCATATAATCTCCAGTTTGTTTCAAAACAATGCAGGTCGACCTTGTACCATCTCAATTTTCTGCCATTATAAAGCCAAGAAGACAAACTTTTTAGGATTAAATTAAATATCTTTGCCGGTTGCTCTGTCCCTTTCACAAAAATTTTGCTCGAATCAAATGTTTGTAGAACGAATAAAAACGCAAAAACTGTGATTTTTAATACAAAAATATTTTAAAGTTGGAACGATACCCCCCCCCCCGAAGGTCATAATCAGATGAGCCCACTTCCGGCTTCAATTGTCTTACCATATTTTATACATGGTGCGTTACCCAGTGTAATATACATATCAGTGGTCTGGGTGTCACTGGTCACGCGTTATGAATGTAATTGCAACATTTATAACGTTTTTATGTTTTTTAGCATTTCTAACGCCGGAAAATTGGAAAATCATAAATTTTGGCTTATTTTAATTTATTGATTTTAACAGTTTGTAACTGCTCGGTCAATTCGAAATACCCTCGATTATATTGATGGGAAGTCTACTATTTTCAACTCACGGTCTTGAGTATTTTGTTATTTTGTAAGTCATTTTGATGTTTGGCCGATCATAACTCGAGTGAAGCGAAAATTCATATCATAAACAGGAATAAATACTAGTAATGCATATTTTAAGCTTGAGCCATTTATTCAAGGTTTAATCTAACCGTGTGTCCGAGAAAACGTTAACAAATAACATACTATTTAAATAGAACGAACTCGGGCACTTTCCCTAAATTATAATAAAATAAAGTTGTACTGTATACTGAATTACCAACAATTTTCTTTGGGGCAAGTAGATTAACATATTTCTTAAAGTGGAAATTTAAACTCAACAATTTATACTAACATAACCTCTCTATTTATATACAAACACTATTAGATTATGTACAACCACAGGAGGTTACAATCATTCCTGGTAAACGAGAAACAGTTATTTTCTTTGGTTCACTGTAATATAATATTGATAACGGCTCAAACTCGGTGGGGATGCAGCAACCGCCTTTTCCAAGGTGACGATTTCGTAGAAATATGTACATTTTTTGATGTTTACTTCCTGAAAATGCAGGACATATCCCAGCACAAGTGTGAGCGTTGTATGTTTGTGGATGCAAAATACTGGAGTAACCCAATTGTTGAAAATTAATAGTCATTGATTTGCGTGAACATAGAGAACTACTTAGTGAACGAGGAAAACGTGTTAATGAAAAAGTACGTAAAGGAAAATTATTAGAATTTTTCTTGGTGTGTCCTCCCATAGCAGCCTTGCTTAACTTTTGCAGAGGTAAGGGAAAATAAAGAAGCATAAAGGGTTGTTTACGACCACCTTTTGCAATTGAAATAGGTTTTGAATCCGACAAATATTTGACCGACCTAACTTCAATAAAGAAGTTGATTTCAGTTTGACGAACCAGTTTAGACAGAATAGGCGAAGTTACATCAAATGTCAACCATTCGCCTCGTGAATTTCGCACAAAACGTGTCCCAATTAAGCGCGTACTTAAACTTTTGTTTGTTATGAATGAAACATTGCTAATGAATTCATGTGACAGATAAAGATGTATGAAATACATATCGTGTGGATTTCGATCCCTTGATCTTCTTTTAAATACACGCAGCTGTATGGTACGAGCCTCTTTAATAGTCTTCACACTTTTCAACTGAAAAGTGAACGCCATTGCTTCTTTTCGTAAAGCTTTGTTTTCTGAAAATAAATGGATTCCCATCATATAGTAAACAATACACTACGAACAGCTACAAGATGTCCTTTGTCAAAATAGATTTCGGGCAAGGCAAAGAGACAAACCTTCACCGAAAATACATGAAATTTGCGAGAAAGTGGAGCGTCGCTTCTCCATTTCAAATAATTTCTTCACGTAGGCCGGAACGGTTCGCTTTCGTACATGTCTCGATGAAAGCGGAATACTTTGTAAAAATAACTCCGCAAAATTGTCTGGTAAGTTCTCATCACTGCTAGTGTCGATGTTTTTCAACAAACTGAAAAAAGTTAAAGCCAAAATGATACTAGTAATCATTGTCATTCAGTTTTTCGCTCACGCATATGTCCCTTTAGTTGGTGTCGAGGCACTTTAAAACCTATTAAGCGCAACCTGATTGGTTAATTCGACCAAGAGAAAATTATTAAAGCCAAAGAAATCCAGAAAACGTAAAGCTTTTGTATAGAAAACAATATACCTGTGATGGTTGAATGCAAAAAATGAACAGCCATATGAATATTAACTATACTCGAGACTTAAATCTTTAGTTTCACTTAAAGACATTGGCAACGAAAATTTTTATGGCATATTTTTGAACCTTTGTGATGTCTAACAACTAAAATAGAAAAATTTTTTCTCAAAAACATTTTGTTGCTGAGATATTTGCAGCAAAAGTTTTATAAATTGCGCCATCTTGGATAAAATTTTGAAAAAATTATCTCGAGCGGTAGTGACGTCATTGGCTGGTGAGCAGTCAAAACAACAATACAATATACTTTGTGATTGACTGCGTTACAACACATTTAAAGCGTATTTTACGGGGTTTTTTTGCTGCAATGGATGACATACACGAAAATCAACCGGGTGAGGTTCTGCCCTATCAATATGAACCTGAAGTGAAGGCCGAAACAAGCGAAGAAAGCGGTTCCGAACAGGAGAGTGACAGAGCGACTTGTCCTCGTCGGAGGATGAAATACATGCTGAATTTGATAAAGCAAATGCTTGGCGCCTTCAAACTCTTAGTTGGTGTAAGTGTGGACATTGTACTTTGTCAAAAAAGGCAATCAATCGAGTGTTTTTTTTGCCACGAAAAAGCACTTGAATACGATGAGTATGAGGATTTGCTAGGCCAAACTGAAACTCAAGGATAAATTGCTTGACAACACACCAAGAATTTAGGGACAATATGCTCTCAGAAAGTGTGTTAAAGATAGATGTGTGTCGGCATCTTGAAGAAAACTGGCCCCTGTCTGAAGAGGATCTAGAGAGAATACACAAGCTGTATCGATTAGTCGCATAGATGCGAAAGTGTGTTAAAGATAGATGTGTGTCGGCATCTGTGTCGGCATCTTGAAGAAAACTGGCCCCTGTCTGAAGAGGATCTAGAGAGAATAGACAAGCTGTATCGATAGTCGCAAAATTTTTCAAATTTTGGGGAAGAAACATCGAAGACCATTTCCTGCTTGTGTTTATGCTAGCATGCGAAAACGCTTCGCGTCACCAGACGGACTTTATACACATTTTAAATACGCTTGTTATCACGAAAGACCGTAAATTTAGTCTTAGACAGACGCTCTTTCATGTTCTTTGTTATGATCTGCAATTGCGATGCGATATCATTGTCAAAGGATTGTCACGAACTGCGCAAAAGCAAAATGCATGAGTGATCCACCCAAAACTTGTATTCATTCATAAGTTATAAAGTTAATCGAAAAGTGTACTTGTACATTGTGCACGCAAACACGCACTTAAAACATTACGGATAAACGAAACTCAACAGTCAAGAACAAGACATAGCGGCTTAGAGCTTATCACCTATATAAAACTACATAATCTTCAGACTCTTATGTATACAAATAATAAATTAAACGTATAACTCATTTGTTGGTCACAGGTTTGTAATATGGATTCAACTTTATGTCAAATTTTCTCAACAGTAAAATTCAAAAGAGACACGAAAACACGAAATTAAGTATTCCATAGCTATCTATGATGAACGTATGAAAAAAAATTTTCGTTGCCAATATCCTTTAAGTGCTTGTTTACGTCCAAAGTTATCAAAGGTGCATGAATAATAAACACCAACAAAACCCAGAATTATATTTCTGTGTTTTAAGTAATAATTTCAATGCAAAAATTACGGCATTAGAATAAAAGAAAATATACGTATATGTTATTTGTAAGAACACTGATGATCTATCATCTAACTTATCTTTTTGTCGGTTACCGTGAACATTAGATTAATTAATTTTATAATTAACGGCAGATATGGCTAAAGTTTTCCTTCACTTTTCCCTTGACAATTCAAAGCATGAAAACAAAACAACACATTACAACATCAAAATCAACCTTTTTCGTACTAAAGTATGATATATATGCAATGTACAAAGTAAACATTTGTCATAATCGGTATCAATATAAATAGCTATATATAAGACATTGCTGTAGCGAACTGTCTTCGTAATTGAATACAGAAATATGATATTAATGGCAATTTTGGCCTCAAATAACAATTATAAGAGCCAAGAATAAAGTGCTTCTTTGGGTCATATTTTGACTTACGAAATACACTCATGAATCGACTTTTTTGATAAACTTTTCTGAGATGTTTTACGCAAGTAACGTGAAATGTTTTCGTTGGTGAAAATTTAGCGAATACTCCGAAGAATATACATTACAAAACGCCAAAGGGACAAAATTAGGAATGCCCTTAGTGTTTGATAGCTATGGTGGCCCAGCGCTATCATCATTAATTTCCGTATGTCAATATTATGTCAGTTGTATTTTCACTTCAAAAACAAATTTTACATAAAACTTTACTTTAAAATGTCAATTTAATATTAATTTCATTACATAAATACAAATTTTATCTATTTTCATTCTGAAAGCGTAAATGGAATTTAAAACACTTTGTTGTGCGTGGCCCAGCGCTATCATGTCATATACCATAATTCTACACTTGCTAAGACGCCACGCCATCTATTATGCATGCATTTGTCGCGACATCACCGGAAAGTACGGTGGCCCACATACGGTGGCCCACAAGTACAAGCACACTTACACATAACAGCATACGCGCACAAATTCGAGGATGCACACTTAGGATACGCGCACAAACGAGGATGCACACTTACATAACAGCATACGCGCACAAATTCGAGGATGCACACTTACACATAACAGCATACGCCCACAAATTCGAGGATGCACACTTACACATAACAGCATACGCGCACAAATAAATATTCACATTCATGGCTTATTACATGACGTTTCGTAAAATCGGGCTGCAAAAACCGAAAAGATTGCCGGCGAGAAATATTTCATGATTCACATGTTCACAATAGCAATAAGTCAATAACCCAACGATGTTTTGTCCACATTGTGGAAAAGAAAAGGATGAAAATGCAAATTTTTTGCGAGAACTGTGGTGCAAGTGTATCAGAAATTAAACCTTCGGCCTCTAGTCAACAACCGTTAACTTTCGAAGAGTACATAAAGAAGAACGCAGTCGCCAATCCTTGCACTGATCGTGGCGATCAACTAGAAAATTCCCACCGCGCTGGTAGTTCGTCTACCTTTCAAACTATTAGAAAAAGGAAGTCAAATGAACGATTAAGTCAAATAAAAAAAAAGGAGAAGAAAGATGAAGTAGTGAAGGTATGTGTATTCAATATTATGATTATGCCAATTATACAAATTTGGTTAATGAATCTCAATTTTGTGTTGTAGATAAAGATTGGAATAATTGAACTCGACGGTAAAAGACTTAAAATACGAAGATCTTCTTTACTTCCTGTTGATGTTCGAAAATCAGATACATTAGTTCCTGTAAAGAATGCCGGAGTTCAGAAACAGCTTGCCCACAACAGACATCTCAGAGATCATAATGAAACTGAGTGGCTTTTACTTTACCCTGATATGGATATCGTGGGAAATATTCCAGGAAGCAGTGAAAAATTCTCTGTGGAAAAATATAAAAATGAACTTGGACGTCCATACAGTCGAGTAAATTTGTACATTTGCAAAATGCTTGATTTTGAAGGTAAACACTGAGTTCAAAATAATTCGGTATTTTTTGCATTTAGACTGCTGGAGTGAGCATTAGGGCATTGCACAAGACAAACACTGGCTGTATTGAAAACTGATATGTCATGCAATAAATAATCAAAAGCAGTCACATTTTATTGAAGCAACATTTCTGAGCTTCCCAGAGTTGAATGGGCCTATTGACTGTATTTTACTGGTGAATAAAGGTTCACTACTGGGGCAAGCACAGAGCAAAATGCGAAAAATGCCCTAGTACATAAAAGTTAAAAAATGCCTTAGAATAATTATCTTGCAACTAACATTAAACCTTCAAAAGAATTTGTTTGTAGGGTTAGTAATTATGTTATATTCTAAATTTAGTAGCCAATGATTTGACTGAAGACCTCGAGGAAACGGTTGTTCCAGATACTGCTGATGTTTTGAAGATAATTCTGTGCAAGAAAATTCTTCACAAATTATATGTGAACTGGGAAATTCTCAACAAGTCAATGCAACACCAGATAATTTTGTGGAAGTTAATCATGCTCATACCAATGCTGTTCCAGCTAGTCTTGCAAAAGCTAGTCTAGTGGAGGCCAGCCATGTTCAAACAAATCCTGTTCCAAGCAATGTTGTTAATGTTGATAATAGTTGTGTGGAAGCTGTTTCCTTTCAGGTTGATTCATTTTCAGTTGAGCAAATCATTATGGAACCAGGTGAAATGCCTGCTCAAATTTTTCAGGATGCAGGTATAACTAATGAGTTGTTACATATGTATCCTATACATTTTGTATATTTCATTGTTTTTGTATTTTAAATTTATTTTTTAGATGTAACTGAATCCCTACTAGATAATATTGAACCAGAGCCAAATCTTGTACAACCAGCTCAAGTTAATTTACCCGAGGAACAATTGCATGTGCTAGATCTGCTAATCCATCGCACAACCCTTTT